CAGGTTTAAAGACAAGGGCGCAAAGATGGAAGGATGAGGTCAAATGGGACAAAGTGCTTTTTCATTGAAATCTCTTATGATCTTGCGGCGCTGGGAGAAAAACCCTTCTCTTATCAAATAACAACATGTGATCTTTAACGTCCACTGGAATAGGCCCACGACAGATTGACGGGTCCTGTTTATAGCTAGTAGTGGTTGGAAAGTCATAAGAACCTACAAGCGCAACCAAATTCAACAAAGCAAAAATTAAGATGTTGAGCAAGCATCTAAATGTACAATATTGTTTGGGAATTGCAGGTATTCAGGATAAAGGCGTAGAAGAAAATACCCAACTCAACGAAACAACTTGCATTTATATAGCGCCTTTCACAAAGTATCGTGATAAAGTTTTGGAACATTTCATAAGAACTGGGTCAGACCCTTAATGAAGAAGGAGGGAGAAAGTGAGAGGGGGAGTGATACTAACCAAGGTCTCTATACTTGGAATGACAATCATTTTGAAATGAATTTACTACCATAAATTACCAGCAGTTCTGACGAAAGGTCATCGACATGAAACATTAACTCACTTTCCTTCTCCATAGATGCTGCCTGACCTGCTGAGTGTTCCCAGCGACTTCTGTTTTTATTAACAACAACAACAAGATTCCATTTAAGAGCGCCTTTCACGTCGGGAGGACGTCCCAAGGCGCTGTACAGTTGGGTCAGGACCTGAGCAGGGGGGAAATTGTCAGGGTGAGGGGAGGGAAGGGAAGGGAGGGAGCGAGGAGGGGGTAGAGAGTCGAGAGGGAGCTGAAGACTCGGTCAAAGAGAAAGGTCTTGAGAAAGGCCTTGAAGGAGGAAAGGGAGGAAGCGGCGAAGGTACTGGGGGATGGAGTTCCAGAGCCTAGGGGCTGAGAGGCTGAAGGCCTGGCCACCGATGGTAGGGCGGTTAGGGCGGGGGATGTGGACCAGACCGGAGCCAGAGGAACGGAGGGTACGGGCAGGTAGGTAGGGGGATAGTAGGTCGGAGAGGTAGGAGGGAGCGAGGCCGTGAATGGCCTTGTAGGTGAGGATGAGGATCTTGAATTCGATCCTCTGGGGGATGGAGAGCCAGTGGGGGCGAGCGAGGGTGGGAGTGATGTGGTCCCGAAGCCTGGTGCGGGACAGTACACGAGCTGCAGAGTTCTGAATGACCTGCAGCTTGTGGAGGGAGGTGCCGGGAAGGCCGGCGAGGAGAAGGTTCCCATAGTCCAGCCTTAACACTATAGGTGTCTGAGTAGCTCAGTGGAGACTAACAATTGTAAGCTTTCTGTGCATTTGGCTGTTTATTCAATGCGGGCTAATTGTTTACAATTCCTAATTTAAATCTAATTTGAGAGAGACTTAGCTGTAGAGTCTGAACCCGTGACCACAGAGTTTAGAATCAAGGATCTTTATCAATGAACAGTCACGCTGAACAAATAAAGCTTCAATGCAAATTTTCACATTTGCCCGGTGACGCGATAGTAACTAAAGAGATATTTTTGGATTGCCAAGTATTCTGAAATTTACCATGGAAATCTGGGCATTATGGAAACTATTGATGACGTTAACCCTAATTTGCAAATTCAATGCATGTTGAACTTCACAGTAAATTTTACAGATTTTAAAAAATATTAATTGCAATGGTGTGTGTAGTGGTAAATTTCAATGTGTGGTTTGACACTGGGCAAAGTTCAATTCCTGATTTGTGCCGACTTCACTGGGGTGTTGGTGGGAGTCCTGAACTGTCTGTAATCGTCCTGAAGTTAGGCGAGGGACGAGTGTGTGTGTGAGATAAATCAAAGAGCGTGCACCTGATTAATGACCATTAACTTCTGCAAGAGAATATAAGCATGTGTGGCCATTGAGTGAGGACAACATCAGATTGGTCTCTGATACCCTCATCACTGAGGGTGGAGTCCGCAGCTCAGTGGTTAGAGCACTCGTCTCGCAAACAAGAGGACCTGGGTTTAATTCCCGCAGGGCGAAACGTTGGGCCAGTTTCCCTACTTCCCACGCCTTTTGTTCACCTGGCAGTAAGTAGGAACCCGGTTGTTAGTCAATTGGAGGATTGCTTTTCCGGGGGTAACGATTCCTTAAAAAAAATTGGCTTTAAAGCCGACTCTACCTTGGACTTAAGGTACACATCAGTCATGGTCTTATAGAGTGGCGGAACAGGCTCAAAGGGTTGAATAGCCTACTCCTGTTTTTAATGTTTCTGCCTCCAGGATGCTCAGTGACAGATCAATGTAGGCCAAAGTCTTTCCTCCCTGCAGCCGCTTCCCCTGTTTACTACAAATCCATCTCACTGCTTGAATGTTTGTCAGTTCTGACAAAAGGTTGTGGACCCCAAACATTGACTCACTTTCCTTTCTCCATCGAAGCTGCCTGACCTGCTGAGTGTTCCCAGGGATTTCTGTTTTTGTTTCCTATTAATCCAGCCTGTCTGAGCCTGTCTGGTTCTTCAATGAGACTTGTTGGTGCAGACATGTCCTCAACCATGAGAGCAGGCCTGGTAGGTGAAGTGCGTGGAACTCTACTTGGTTTGTAGACTCTTGAGCACGCTGATGAGTTTCCGCATGCATCAGACATCCGGCTGACCAAAAAAAAGGCTGATGGCTAGGATGCTACAACTGCTTAAGTTGCATGGTTGACATTGGTCATTACTCCCTCACTACAAAGGTGGTCTGGGATACCCTGAAAACAAGTCTCACAGATAATGTGCAATACCCAGGGTGATCACATGAGTCCTGTAGCTCAGTGGTTAGAGCACTCACTTTGCAAGTGAGAGACCTCAGTTCAATTCCAGGCAGAGGGCGAAACCTTGGGCAAGTTTCCTTACTCCACACAGAGCCTAATAATAATCCCTCCAAAACCCAAAGCAATAATAAATTGGTCATTTTCAATCTACGACTGTTTGTGGGACATTGCTGTGCGCAATTGGCTGCCGCGTTCGCCCACAAATATACAGTCAATTCACTTTACAGTGTGTTCTGTGAAGCGCTTTGGGAGGTCCTCCCGACGTGAAAAGCGCTATATCAAATGCAAAGATTATTATTATTATTATTATGACTCTGTTGAACAAAATAAGCAATTGCAAAACTGGTTTTAGGGCACTAGTCTGCAGCAGATGGATGCAATACTGTCTGTGGTGGTTTTCTTGGCATGGTTGAAGTGTTAGTAGATCTCCTGTCTGCTTTCTTTGTTTGTGGAGATTGCATTCACTCACTGTGCAGATTGCCCTTAACTCACCCTCATGATTCATGGGTGTAAATCTGGCACCCCTGACTTCTTGGTGAACAAAGGTTGACCTATTCCAATTAGCTCTGCCAGCCTCAATTCGCACACGATCGATGGCTTATAGAGTTCAAGTGCTTTGCGTCTTGCTTGCGTTTTAAGCGCTCAAGCGTGGTTGCTGCCGTTGCACAAGGACTGAGTGTCGTAACTTACTGCTGATTGTAAGTTACGATGCTTTGTCGCAGAATGAGGAGTATTCCCAATGGCTGGGCTGCCAATGAATACACTTGTCTCAAAACACTCTTAATGCCTATCAGTGACAATTCAGGTCTAAATTTCCTCATGATTTTGTCCTCTGCTCATTGCTCAATTAAGAGTCACTGCAAGCAGTTGCCTCTTTTATAAAGAGCTTTCCTGAGCTAACTGTGAAGTGCTTTGGAAGAGCATTCAACTAAAAGTGGCGAGAAAACATTACAGCTCTGGTAGAGGGAGATAAAGTCCAGCAGGCATCTGTATTAATGACTGCACGTAAATCAGAAGAGAATGTATCTGATACTTCAAGTTACGTGAACACAAAGTGATATTAGGCTTCAAAATCACTGATTTATCTGAGTGATAGAGCCATTAACCAACCACTGGTGAATATAATGCTTCTTGCATTTGATATAGTGCCTAATCACATCTTTGAGACGTCTGAAAGCGCTTCACAGAATATACTGTAAAGTGAATTGACCGTATGTTTTGTGGTCGAAACCCGGCAGTCAATTGCGCACAGCAGTGTCCCACAAACAATCATGGATTGAGTGACATTAGGGATGCAAGCTCAGATGGGAAGGGAGAATCCAAATCCTCTCACCTGGGAAGCAAGCCTGGATCGAACTGTATGGACAGGAAAATTCACTTTCCTCATTTACAGAATGCACAACTACTTACTCATCCGTGATGCACAATTAGAATTTAAACGCAAATGAATCATTGGGAAAAACTGGCTACGTTGAAACAGTTCTTTTTTGGATTGAATGCATTATCCTCAAACTGAAACTACCATCACAAGAAAATACATGCTACCCATTTTCTACGTTAAAACCTAAACCTGTGAATGGTGTGTTAGTGTGCATTTTTAGTGTGTGCTGGGGGATCAGTCAGACTGGCTGAAAACGGACTTGCTGTGCAAGGTCAGGGACAACAGCAAGAACTATTCCAGTGAGTGAGTACACTATTTCAGTGATTGAGTATATTATTTCAGTGAGCAAGTAGTAAATGTAGGGATACAGTGTAAACAGACAGTGTTGATTCTTTCAAAAGCAAATTAGATAGGAAATAATATCTTGGGTTGCAGTATGTAGTTTGAGACATGACAAGTGCATGCGACTGCCAGGATGGTGGAAGGCAAAATGGATGGACCTTGGTCTTCTTTCATCTAGCAATACTTATGTTCTTATGTTCTAAGAACAGTGAAGCCAGTTATCACTGGCTTCAGACCCGATCATTGTACCAAAGTTAGAGATGGAAGCTGGGGGCGTTCACATTTGAAGCCAGTCAATAATCATCTACCAAAATCGCAATGGTTCGTAACAAATCCACATCGACATCACGTTGTGCACGTTAACACATCAAATCATACATTCACCAGGAACGCAACAAACAGCAAGACAATTGGACAACCAGCAAACCTTCAATCGTCCTTCTGGTTGAAACCGGAAGTAATTTCAGAGCATTTAATATTGATTATGCCGCTCACACACACACATTCAGCTTACCTCATTGATGCTGATCTCTGCCTCCACATACTGCAGTCCTTTCTGAAGGATGGAGATCAGTGCTGCAGGTGGCACTAGCGTCCCGTTGATGTTTGATTGACTTATATGACTTTCTATTCCAAAAGTGAAAGCTGAATGAGAAAAACCTGCAGGGAGGAAAAACAATGACATTAAGTGGCAAAGGTTTACAAGGGAGCCTATCACAGAAAGAGCGCATTCCACGTCATTAGCATTCACAGAGATCAGCACACCATTAAGTGGGCCCTGTGTGGTGTCTTCACACAATTACCATTTCCTGTCAGAATCCTGTCCCCTAAGAAGTGTTTCATCTATCTACAGCCTTTCACATCCTTTTCACAAATTCTTTTTGTTCAGCCGAATGTTTGACACATGCAGAAACCCATCCCCATGCTTAGGAGTATCTAAATCAGACTAAGAGTTCTACACATGCATCCCAGCTACACATGGAAATCCAACAGAGCATTGGTTACAGCTCTCACCTCGCAAACGAGAGGAGATTCCCGGGCAGGGCAAAACCCTAGGCAAGTTTCCTTACTCCACACGCCTCTGTTTACCTAACAGTCAGTAGGAACCCGGTTGTTAGTCGATTGGCGGATCGCTTTTTGGGGGTAATAATCCCTTCAAATTCACTTTACAATCGATTCTGTAAAGCACTTTGAGACATCTCAATGATGTAATGAGTTGCCATAACAAATTCAAAGATTATTATTGTTATGGAAGGTTCCCATTTGTCTGAAATGGAATGTGTACTCCCCTTCAGTGGGATGTATTCTGCTTACCTAATCCCGGAGAGTTTTAGGTGCAGGTTGGTGAGAGCCAAGGATTGGGGGCCCCAGAGTGTGGGTACTGCTGGACTAGCAAGTTTCTTGCTGCTTGTCCAGGTAGGATCACGCTACCCATTGGGGCTTTGACTTAACAGAAGCCAAGTGGGGAAAAATCGTTTCTGCCACTCCATTTGTTGCCGATGAGCTGTCATCAGCAGTGCCCTAGAGTACTGAGCACCACGACTGAGACCGTCACAATACCAATATTCAATTGACAGGCACATCACCTGGGAGCCAGCCCAGCTCCGAGGAGACCCTGCCTTAACATCCAATGGGAGAAACAAACAGATAGATAATCAATCATTTCAAGTAAATACCACTTATATTGGGAGCCCATTTAAAGATGCTCAACACACACAACGTACCTTTTTACATTCTAAACATTAAGCAAAACGATTTACCGAATATCTGAGGTCTCAAGGTCTTGGTACTAAGACTGTTCTTTTAAAATTACAGAAGCGGGAAGAAGTTTCATTTTACAATATATCCTGTGAAGGGTTTTGAGAAGGTGCTATATCAAGTGCAAGGAAAGCCATTATTATTAATAAAAATAAGATTATTATTATTATTAATAATAAGGTCATCCAAACGCCTTCGGAAGTTCTCCCGACGTGAAAGGTGCTATATAAATGCAATTTGTTATTGTTTTAATGGTCTTAATGCTATAATCAATGAAGATTTTGGACCTCAAAGTGGCTGAAATTCCAGCCTGCTTTCCGAGTCACTGCACCAATAGCAAAGTAATTAAGTAAGCAGGAACCCAGTTGTTAGTCAATTGGCGGCTTGCTTTTCCGGGGGTAATAATTCCTTCAAAAAAAATAATAATAGTAATAAGTTGGTCATTCAATCCATGACTGTTCGTGGGACACTGTTGGCTGCTGAGTTTCTGCCACAAAATATACAGTCAATTCACTTTACAGTATATTCTGTCAAGCGCTTTGAGACGTCTCGAAGATGTGATAAGGCGTTATATCAAATGCAAGGATTATTATTATTGTTATTATTATTGGCTTTCATCAGGATTTCCCAGTGCTAATTGCACATCGTCAATAATGGCCACGTGCTTAATTACGACAGGAAATGCACCTCATGCTCGGAGGTCTTGCTTGCTTGGCACAGGAGAAGTGTACAATCCTCAATCACAGATCAGTACCTCAGGAGTGTGTGCGCTGTGTACCAATTGCAACAACACAGCGTTCCAGGGCCTTGGGACGTCTCCTGACGTGAAAGCCGCTATATAAATAAATCGTTCAGATTGGAGTCTGTCAGCCTGAAATTCCACCCAGCTTTATCCTGCAAACCCAGTTTATCTCAACATTTAAGATCACGCAATTGAGTTTTAAACCAGAGATGGATTGATAGATAATAACAATAATCCTTAATATTCGATATAGCGCTTTTCACGTTGACTTATAGAGATGACTTCAAAGTGGTGTTCGTTAAGTGACACAGATTATTGCTGTTATTTGACAAATGCATTGAGCAGCGGGAAATTGTGTCTTGGAATCAAATCCACCACAAACCAAATTTTAATTCTTGTAAATGCTATTTATTTTCTTTATACATAAGGTCAATTGTATTAGACCAAATCCCAAGGTAAACAAATACGTTAGACTGGGGATATATAAAGAGCAACTCCCACGTCATCCTTTCCAACATCATTTAAGTTAAACTGTGACTGCGTAGAAAGCTTCTCCATTGACATAAGCATCACAGTGGTCATTGAGGATCTGGATGTTTGCTTATCCTCTTATGGTTCACTTTGTGACTTGTTTGTTTGCAGGATGCTTCTGAAAGTAAATTGGCTCCCACTTTTCACATAAAAGATAATAATAATGATGATCCTTGCATTTGATATAGAGTCTTATCGTGTCGTGACGCCTGAAAGCGCTTCACAGAATGAGACGTCTCAAAGACATGATAAGGCGCTATATCAAATGCAAGGATTATCATTATTATTATCTTGTATGTGAAAAGTGGCAGCCAATTTACTATTATTATTATTTGCATGGGGTGATGAGCATTGAGACGCCCTCCAGTCGGGAAAAGCGCTAAATCATATGAAACGATTATTATTATTAATAATATTCATTTCCAATTGCTTTTCTTGGGGACAGAGGTGTGTTCTGTGCAACAAACTGGAATTACATAGCTAAAAAAAATAATAAATTGATCCACTCAATCCATGACTGTTTGAGGGACACTGTTGTGCGCAATTATCTACCGCGTTTCGTCCACAAAATACAGTCAATTCACTTTACAGTATATTCTGTGAAGCGCTTTGAGACATCTCGAAGATGTGATAAGGCGCTATATCAAATGCAAGGATTATTATTATATTATTACTTTCTAAAAGAGTTGACCACACAATATCTTTGATAACATTGAAAACGATCCCTTAGAGGGACCATTCTTGGCCAGTCCTCCGGGCCGTTCAAGGGCCCAGAATTCTGAGCGGTTTTAGCCTTAAAACCATTTCTTAAAAAAAGTGAAACCGTGCAGAGTTTGGGGGTAAATTCTTAAATTTAATCTCGATTTGGAAGTTAATTCGATTCAAGAACTGGGGAAAATTGGCGTCCAAACTTAAGAAGTTTCCGAACCTTTGCCGGATCTTAAAACCCTGAAGAATACGAGACCTCCCTAGGGTATGTAAGGAGCCAGATTTAGTGGAGCCTGAAGTGATTTGAACTAACTGCACTCATTTAGCTGCGGTGTGAACCTGATCTCCTGGTGAAACTCCAGGTGGCTCCAGCATGAGTCAGAATCCAAGGCCTCAGGCTGGATTTGCTCTGTGCAATTTCCATGTCAAATCAATGCAAGAATCCTGTAGCGTAGTGGTTAGAGCACTCGCCTCGCAAGTAAGAGGACCCGAGGACGATTTCTGGGCAGGGCGAAACCTTCGGCAAGTTTCCTGACTCCACACGACTCTGTTTACCTAGCAGTAAGTAGGAACCCAGTTGTTATTCGATTTGTGGATTGCTTTTCAGGGATAATATCCCTTCAAAGAATAATTTGGTCACTTAATCCATGACTGTTTGTGGGACACTGCTGTGCGAAATTGGCTGCCGAGTTTCTCCAACAACATACGCAGTGAATTCACTTTACAGTATATTCCGTGAAGTGCTTTGAGACGTCTCAAAGATGTGATAAGGCGCTACATCAAATGCTGGGATTACTATATACTAGCTGTGCCCGTTGCAGCTACGCTTGCAACCAGTTTAATTGGCCTTCTCTTTTTCGTCTGGTATTTTTATTCGTCCTTGAAAAGCTTGATCTTCGCTTCTTAGCCATCTTTATCCATTAAGATTAAGAAAATATGCCATTGAACCCGTTAGCATCCCTTGTTCACACATTTGCGCACATATCCTTTTGGGAGGACTTCTGTGGGAGGCCTCCTGTTGGGAGGACTCCTGTGGCAGGACTCCTATTGGGAGGACTCCTTGTTGGGAGTCCATACACGTGTGATGAGCTTGTTTAAGTCACGCTAGGAGATCCGCAGGAAAAAGATATGCCCATGACACTCCTCCATGCAAGACCGTTCCGATGAGTATTTCTTGGCAGATAGGCAGACAGATAGACATTTCGCCTTTATTAATATAAAGAAGTGCAGTGTGAATCAGGTGCTCGATTAGTGGAGGTGAGCAAATGCAATCTTTGATGAGCAATCTGTGCATCTACTACAATATATACCATCACTGCACTCTTCAGTAAATTCTACAAAGCTGTTTGACACATCCTCCTGATGTGAAAGTTGCTATATCAAATGCAATGATTATTATTTTTTATTATTACAACTACTTGCACTTATATAGCAGCCTCCACGCAGGGTAGTGTCTCAGAGCGCTTAACAGTGGCAGAGCCTGACTCTGAGCTGGTGAGGGGGGTGGAAGGTGGCCATAAGCACAGTCGAAAGGAAGGTTTTCAGGTGGGACTTGGAAAAGGGGAGAGAGGGGACGAAGCGGAGGGAGGGTATTCCAGAGTTTTGGGATATAGTGGCTGAAGGCGCAATTATTATTATTAATCATCTGGTAGCTTTCTCAATGCACACCCATTTGTTGTAAAACCGCATTTAAGAACGTTTCATAAATTTGTAAAGCTTGTTATTATACAGCCATCACTCAGGTTTTAGATAATAATGATTATAGTAATCCTTACATCTGGCTTTTGGATGCCTTTCGGGTTAGGAGGACATCTCAAAGCGTTTCATCGGATCTACTGTAAAGCAAAGTGACTATGTATTTTGTGGGTTAGTGGAGTAGTTAGGATATGTGCGATAATCAAAACTATGAACAAAGAAAAGA